ATAATAATAATAATAATAATAATAATAATAATAATAATAATAATAATAATAATGATGATGATAATAATAATAATAGTACACAAACATTAATTGAGAAAAACAAAGCTATCAGTAGTATGAACACACTTTAAAAAAAAGACTTTGTATCAAGAAAGCGCAGTAGTAATTGTCTAAGACGGTCATCTATTGCCAAGAAGAAAAGTGGCATTCTTAGACAGGTGACCGTCTTACACAGTGCCATTATAATGTGAACAATTCGTAAGGGGTAGGGGATGAGAAGAGGCTGTTCGTACAGGAGATTGTCTTATACATGTAGCCGTTAGAGCAGGTTCGACTGTATTTCTCTTTTCGTCCAGGTCTTCAGGCACACATACCTACATTGTGCCAAATAGCATACTTCGTTTTTCGTCCAGGTCTTCGGACACACATATAATTCATAATGTATCAAACAACATAATATACTTCTCTTGCCCTGTCCAGGAGTTCAGAGACACATACCCACATTGTATCAAACAACATAATGTAATTTATTATTTCTCTTTTTGTCCAGGTCTCTAGACAACCATACCCACATTATATCAAACAACATATTATTTCTCTTTTATCCTGACACACATATCCACATTATATCAAACAACATATAATAATTTATTTTTCCTCTTTTCGTCCAGGTCTCCAGACATACATACCCACATTGTGTCAAACAACATATTATTTATTATTACTCTGAACACTCTATACCCATATTGTATCAAACAACAAACAATTTATTTTCTTCTCTTTTTGTCCTGGTCTCCGGACACACATACCCGTATTGTACCAAATAGCATAATACTTCTCTTTTCTTCCAGGTCTACAGACATACATACCCTCATTGTATCATACAACATATGCGTCGCGACGCGATTGAATCAGGCGCTCGTCAATAATATTATTATTTAATCTTTTTCTTTTCGTCAATGTCTTCGGACACACATACCCACATTGTATAAAACAACATAATATAATTTATAATTTCTCTTTTATCCCCACCCACACCCACATTGTATCAAACAACATAAGATAATTCATTACATGTGTATTTCTCTTTCCGTCCAGGTCTCCGGACACACATACCCACACTGCCGTACGAGAAACGACTGAGCAAGGTGGACACTCTCCGCCTGGCCATCGGCTACATCGGCTTCCTGTCAGAGCTCGTACAAACAGACGTGCACTCCAGGGAACACACACAGGTGCACGTGCAGCAGCAGCAGCCCAAGAAGGTCATCATACACTGCCACGCAGGTGAGTGAGTGGCTCGGGTTAGTGGCTTTGGTTTATGAGAATGTGAGTGAAGTTGTCTCCGACGTGAGTCGTATGGTGAAAAACACACTCGACGATGCTACCCAGAGCGATAGAAAAAGGAACAAAAAAAAATAAAAAAAAAATAAATTATTGTAGCAGTAGTAGTATTTGGATTAGACTCTATCTGAAAGTCTCAAGACACCACCACCACCACCACGAACACGACGACGACAACAA